TTCTGCATCTATTGAGATGATCATATGGTTTTTATTCATCAATTTGTTAATATGGTGTATCACATTGATTGATTTGTGTATATTGAAGAATCCTTGCATCCCTGGGATACATCCCACTTGATCATGGTGTATGATCCTTTTAATGTGTTGTTGGATTCTGTTTGCTAGTAGTTTGTTGAGGATTTTTGCATCTATATTCATCAGTGATATTGGTCTGTAATTTTCTTCTTTTGTAGTATCTTTGTCTGGTTTTGGTATCAGGGTGACGGTGGCCTCACAGAATGAGTTTGGGAGTGTTCCTTCCTCCACCACTTTTTGGAAGAGTTTGAGAAGGATGGGTGTTAGCTCTTCTGTAAATGTTTCATAGAATTCACCTGTGAAGCCATCTGGTCCTGGACTTTTGCTTGTTAGAAGATTTTTAATCACTGTTTCAATTTCATTACTTGTGATTGGTCTGTTCATATTTTCTATTTCTTCCTGGTTCAGTCTTGGAAGGTTATACCTTTCTAAGAATTTGTCCATTTCTTCCATGTTGTCCATTTTATTGGCATAGAGTTGCCTGTAGTAGTCTCTTAGGATGCTTTGTATTTCTGCGGTTTCTGTTGTAACTTCTCCTTTTTCATTTCTAATTTTATTGAGTCTTCTCCCTCTTTTTCTTGATGAGTCTGGCTAACGGTTTATCAATTTTGTTTATCTTCTCAAAGAACCAGCTTTTAGTTTTATTGATCTTTGCTATTATTTTCTTTGTTTCTATTTCATTGATTTCTGCTCTGATCTTTATGATTTCTTTCCTTCTGCTAACTTTGGATTTTTTTTTGTTCTTCTTTATGTAGTTCCTTTAGGTGTAAGGTTAGATTGTTTATTTGAGACATTTCTTGTTTCTTGAGGTAGGCTTGTATAGCTATAAACTTCCCTCTTAGAACTGCTTTTGCTGCATCCCATAGGTTTTGGATCGTCGTGTTTTCATTGTCACTCATCGCTAGGTATTGTTTAACTTCCTCTTTGATTTCTTCAGTGATCTCCTGGTTACTCAGTAACTTAGTGCTTAGCCTCCATGTGTTTGTGGTCTTTTATGTTTTTTTCTCTGTAATTGATTTCTAATTTCATAGCGCTGTGGTCAGAAAAGATTCTTGATATGATTTCAATTTTCTTAAAATTACTGAGGCTTGATTTGTGACCCAAGATGTGATCTATCCTGGAGAATATTCTGTGCGCATCTGAGAAGAAAGTGTAATCTGCTGTTTTGGGATGAAATGTCCTATAAATAAAATTAAATCTATCTGGTCTATTGTGTCATTTAAAGCTTCTGTTTCCTTATTTATTTTTATTTTGGATGATCTGTCCCTTGGTGTAAGTGAGGTGTTAAAGTCGCCCACTATTATTGTTTTACGGTTGATTTCCTCTTTTATAGCTGTTAGCAGTTGCCTTATGTATTGATGTGCTCCTATGTTGGGTGCATATATATTTATAATTGTTATATCTTCTTTTGGATTGATCCATTGATCATTATGTAGTGTCCTTCCTTGTCTCTTGTAACATTCTTTATTTTAAAGTCTACTTTATCTATGAGTATTGCTACTCCAGCTTTCTTTTGATTTCCATTTGCATGGAATATCTTTTTCCATCCCCTCACTTTCAGTCTGTATGTGTCCCTAGGTCTGAAGTGGGTCTCTTGTAGACAGCATATAGATGGGTCTTGTTTTTGTATCCATTCAGCAAGCCTGTGTCTTTTGATTGGAGTATTTAATCCATTCACGTTTAAGGTAATTATCAATATGTATGTTCCTACGACCATTTTCTTAATTGTTTTGGGTTTGTGTTTGTAGGTCCTTTTCTTCTCTTGTGTTTCCCACTTAGAGAAGTTCCTTTAGCATTTGTTGTAGAGCTGGTTAGGTGGTGATGAATTCTCTCAGCTTTTGCTTGTTGTAAAGCTTTTGATTCCTCCATCGAATCTGAATGAGATCGTTGCTGATTAGAGTAATCTTGATTGTAGGTTCTTTCCCTTTCATCAGTTTATCATGCCACTCCCTTCTGGCTTGTAGAGTTTCTGCTGAGAAATTAGCTGTTAACCTTATGGGAGTTCCCTTGTATATTATTTGTCATTTTTCCCTTGCTGCTTTCAATAATTTTTCTTTGTCTTTAATTTTTGCCAATTTGATTACTATGTGTCTTGGCATGTTTCTTCTTGGTTTTATCCTGTATGGGACTCTGCTTCCTGGACTTGGGTGGCTATTTCCTTTCCCATGTTAGGCAAGTTTTCAACTATAATAATCTCTTCAAATATTTTCTCTGGTCCTTTCTCTCTCTCTTCCCCTTCTGGGACCCCTATAATGCAAATGTTATTGCGTTTAATGTTGTCCCAGAGGTTTCTTAGGCTGTCTTCATTTCTTTTCATTCTTTTATCTCTATTCTGTTCTGCAGCAGTGAATTCCACCATTCTGTCTTCCAGGTCATTTATCTGTTGTTCTGCCTCAGTTATTCTGCTACTGATTCCTTCTCGTGTAGTTTTCATTTCAGTTATTGTACTGTTCATCTCTGTTTGTTTGTTCTTTAATTCTTCTAGGTCTTTGTTAAACATTTCTTGCATCTTCTCGATCTTTGCCTCCATTCTTTTTCCGAGGTCCTGGATCATCTTCACTATCATTCTGAATTCTTTTTCTGGAAGGTTGCCTATCTCCACTTCATTTAGTTGTTTTTCTGGGGTTTTATCTTGTTCCTTCATCTGGTACATAGCCCTCTGCATTTTCATCTTGTCTATCTTTCTGTGGATGTGGTTTTTGTTCCACAGGCTGCAGGATTGTAGTTCTTCTTGCTTCTGCTGTCTGCCCTCTGGTCAGTTCATTCCTTTATTGATTACTGTAGAAGCTCTTTATATATTATGGACAATGTTGATGATTATACACATTCCATTTTTCCTTTCCTTATCAGTCTTCACTTCATCTATGGTATCTTTCAGTGTCTAGACATTTAAAAATTCAATGTAATTAACTTTAACCATCTTTTTTGTTATGACTTGTGCTCTGTGCAACTTCTGTAAGAAATGTTTCCCTACCTCAAGAATACAAACGTATTCTCTTATATGTTTCTTGTAATTTAAAAAAAAGTTTTGTTTTTCTACATAAAGTTAGGTTTATCAACCTGAAATTTACTTTAGGCTATGCAATGACGGTGTTTTTTCTATGTGTATAACTGATCTATTTTTGTTGAAAAATTATCCAAACTGTATTTAATCTCAGTCAGGTCTTTCTCTTTTCTTTATAATTTCCACCAATTCTAAAAGTTTTCTTAAATTAGAAAAGCCCAAACAAAAATTGAGTCATCTCCTTGAATTAAAAATATAGGAAACTGGCAAAACTATGGTTTTTCATGTTGACAATTCTCAGGCAGAGATATTTTCCCAGAATAATGAAAGGTGTGTGTTTATGTATATACATGTGTGTGTGTATCCTGCATATACCGTAAGCTAGTAAATAAAGTCTAATTTTGGTACATAAATAACTAAAATCTCTACTCTAAAAATTCTTAGTCCCTGTAATACTTCTGTGATAAAGACAGCTGTTGCTGAAAATGGCAGTGTGGTTTTGATAAATGGGAGGGGGATGTGCTAACGAGAGGGAAAGTATATAGAGAGGAAAACACTCTTAAGTTTCCTAAGCAAGACCAGAAATGGAGAAGGAGAATCTGTAAAAAGTGGCAGAACCATATAGTAAAGCAGTTATGATAAGCTTGAAGCCAGACAGCCTTGGATTTGAGTCCTGGGTTTGCCATCTACTAGCTGTGTGACCTGGGGTAAGTTACTTAACCTCAAAGAGCATCAGCTTCCTCAAAGGTTAAGGATAAAATACATCCAAAGATTAAAAAACAGGATTAATATAACTAGACATAACGCTGGTAAAGTAACTAGGTCACCTGACTCATGTGCTCTTTAATAAATGACACCCATTATTATTATAAATGGAAGTGATCAAGAAGAAACTCAGGAAACCAAAATTATTTTCTCTTTGAAAGGTATTTGCCATACCTTTTGTAATAATGAATAAATAATTTTCTAGAAATATTAGACTAGTATCAAATACTCTAAGAGAAGGAAAAACTTTACTTTTCAGAACAATTAAGTACCCCTTTCTTGATACTGTTTAAGCTTAAGATATGATTACTGGGTGAAAGACCATGACCAGGTAGGATTTGTCCAGGCATGTAAAGCTAGTTCAAGATTCGAAAATCAAGCAAGGTAATTCAACATATCAACAGGCTAAAGAAGAAAAGTCATAGATCATATTCATTGATACAGAATAAGCATTTAACAAAATCCAACACAATCATAATAAACTCTCAGCAAGTTAGGAATAGATGGGAATTACCTTGATAATAAACATGTATTAAAAACCTACAGCTTATATCATACTTAACAGTAAAAGACTAAATCCTTTCCCCCTAAGACTGGCAATTATCTACCCTCACCATTCTTATCCAACATAGTGTAAGAAGTTCTAGCCATTGCAAAAAAGACAAGAAAAAGAAAGAAAAGATATACAAATTAGAAAGGAAAAAAATAAAACTATTTGCAGATGATATGATTATCTACATAGAAAATCTCAAAGAATCTGTTAAAAAAAGTCCTAAAATAAATTAGTTCAGCAACATTGCAGAATACAACATCAACACAAAAATCAGTCACATTTCTATACACTAATAATGGGCATGCTAAAACCAAAATTAAAAACAAAATATCATTTAAAATTGCTCCACAGGGAACTAAACACTTAGGTATACACTGTAAACATGTACAGCATCTGTGAGGTGAGAATTATAAAATGATGATGAAAGAAATCAAAGAAGAACTAAATAAAAGAAAAGACGTACCATATTCATGGATTGGAAGATCTAATGTAGTAGACATGTTTATTTTCCCAAAATTTATCTAGAGGTTTAACCAATTCCCATCAGAACATAATTACCTGGTGAAAGAAACGAGTGATAAAAATAAAACTAATACAAACCAGCAGCGTGTGTAACGACCGCAGGCTTTTGCTGACATTGAAATGCTTCTGCAGCACGTCTCGCACATTCCTATCTTCTGAGAGACTCTAGAGGAAAAAAATCAAAACAGAATTAAGGAACAATGCAGTTTAAAACCTAACTATAATCTTGTGCCTCACTGGCTGGTGTATCTCATGAACTCTATCTGGTATTTATCCATTATTAAACAGGTGCTGGTCTTATTTGTGGAAAACAAAAATCAAAATCAAATTTCCACTCTATTGTTTATCTTCTTATCCCTTTACGTTAATTCCAAAGACACCAAGATAAAACATAACCCTTGCTACCACAAAATTTCCAGTCTAAAGAGGGAAACTATACAGTCATACTAATGGGATGATCAAAATGCACCACTAAATGAAACAGAGAATAAGGGTTATTTACTATACTTCAAAAACAAGGTAAAGTGTTACAAAGAATGCTTAAACTGTATGAGTCAATATGCTACAAAGAGCAGTCCAGTTATAGGGAACACGATGAACAACGCAGGGAGATTGTGGCATATGGACAGAAGATGAGTAGTCATGTCATCCTGAGTTTCAGCTTTGGCTAAGTGATTGTACGGAAAGACAAAGGCAGGAAAACCTAACTGGAGGCAACTGCAATTGTCCATGTAAGAAACAAAATGAGTCCGGATTAACACAGTGGTGTGAAGACAAGAAAGAATTAAACACATTTATAGAAGACATGTCTGATGGAGAATCAACCGCTGGGGAGCAGCGATGAAGGGTTGGAGAGGGGTTAGAAAAAAATCAAAGATGAAACTATGGGGAACAGAGTGTCCCAGGAGAAGTGAAGAGGGAGATGTGGTCAGGAAGTAAAACTTGTATTATAAATGTTTAAGAAGTAAATGGAGGGGCTTCCCGGAGGGGCTTCCCTGGTGGCGCAGTGGTTGAGAGTCTGCCTGCCGATGCAGGGGACAAGGGTTCGTGCCCCGGTCCGGGAAGATCCCACATGCCGTGGAGCGGCTGGTCCCGTAAGCCATGGCCGCTGAGCCTGCGTGTCCAGAGCCTGTGCTCCGCAACAGGAGAGGCCACAACAGTGAGAGGCCCTCATACCGCAAAAAAAAAAAAAAAAGAAGTAAATGGAAAAAGAGGAGCAAAGTAAGAGACTGAGAAAGATGTTGAAGACTGGAATAGAATCCAAGATAGAGCAATAAAACCAGGGGGAGAAAACAAGAGGGACAACACTTCAAGAGGGAAGTGGTGATCAACAATGTAAACTGGAGGGGACCTTGAAGGTAGCGGAAGAGTGAGACGCGGAGATCGCCTTCCTCCCCACGGATACACCAGAAATACATCTACACGTGGAACAACTCTTACAGAACACCTACTGAAGGCTGGCAGAAGACCTCAGACCTCCCAAAAGGCAAGAAACTCCCCACGTACCTGGGTAGGGCAAAAGAAAAAAGGAAAAAACAGACAAAAGAATAAGGACAGCACCTGCACCAGTGGGAGGGAGCTGTGAAGGAGGAAAAGTTTCCACACACTAGGAAGCCCCTTCGTGGGCGGAGACTGCAGGAGGTGGAGGGGGGAGCTTCGGGACCGCGGAGGAGTGCACAGCGACGGGTGCCGGAAGGCAAAGCGGGGAGATTCCCGCACAGAGGATAGGTGCCGACCGGCACCCACCAGCCGGAGAGGCTTGCTGCTCACCCGCCAGGGCGGGCGGGGCTGCGAGTTGAGGCTCGGGTTTCGGTTTCGGACGGAGCGCAGGGAGAGGACTGGGGTTGGCGGCTTGAACATAGCTTGAAGGGGTTAGTGCACCACGGCTAGCCGGGAGGGAGTCCGGGAAAAGTCTGCACCTGCCGAAGAGGCAAGAGAGTTTTTCTTCCCTCTTTGTTTCCTGGTGCGCGAGGAGAGGGGTTTAAGAGCGCTGCTTAAAGGAACTCCAGAGACGGGCGCGAGCCGCGGCTAAAAGCGCGAACCGCAGAGACGGGCGCGAGCCGCGGCTAAAAGCGCGGACCCCAGAGACGGGCGGGAGACGCTAAGGCTGCTGCTGCCGCTACCAAGGGCAATCATAATAAACTCTCCACACCCCTCTTCCGCGGAGCCTGTGCAGCCCGCCACTGCCAGGTTCCCGGGATCCAGGGACAACTTCCCCGGGAAAACGCACGGTGGGACTCAGGCTGCAGCAACGACACGCCGGCCTCTGCCGCCGCAGGCCCGCCCCGCACGCAGTGCCCCTCCCTTCCCCCCCCC